GTTCCCCCCCCCCCCCCCATTTTGAGTCTCCCTGTAGCCCAGATGGCCTAGAACTCACTATGTAGACCAGGTTGCCTCCCTCTCACAAAGATCCACCTGCCTTAAAGGCATACAGCACCACACCTGGCAACAGATTCTGCACTTGTAATTATTCATCCATTAACAATTTTCTCCATGTATGGAATATGCATTTTATAAAATGAAATCCTCTTAGCTAAGAGCAGATCCAGCAATGTTCCCAAACATTCATTTGGATTTTCTTGTGTTCCAGGCACAGGAGCCCAGGGGAGACTGGTTTTCCACTATGGCCAAGAGTCTCAGTATATCATATCAGTGGCATCACTCCCTGGAGGAGAGACTAGACAGGCAGAGGCACAGATGAGCATCCCAAGCTCAGCACAGGCCCTGCATGTGGATTCTCTGTCAGGCAGACACATCCCTTAGTCTGTGCCAGTTGTTAACCTGCTTTGTGGCTCTTGAGATTATTTGTTCTACTTCCAAAACCCTTTCACATCTGGAAAGGATTTTCAATGAACTCCCACCACAGTTCCATACCCAGCCCAGAAGGACCACAGATGATGGTTCAGTGACACAGGATCCCACTAACGTTTACCTACTATCTTGGCTTTAAGTTCCAAATGTTTAACACAGTCGGTGCCTTACTTCTTACTAGTGGAGTGAGGTGCAATCACATTCTTCATTTACAGACGAGAAAACAAGCACAAGGATAATAAAAATGCCTCGCTCAGTAGATGCAGAGAAAGTGGAACCAGGATCAGACACAGGAACCTGGCTCCTGGGCGTCCCCTCTCAAAGCCCATGCTGTTCTTTTTTCAGAAGCTTTATAAGGATTTGGAAGCAGGAAAAACAGGTAGACCATGAAAACATGCCTGGACATCATGTGTACAAATGAACCTGGCGGTGTTCAAAACAAACAACAAAACCCACACCTAGGCAACACACAAGCAAGTGATTGGCCACAAATTTTCTACAGCTGTTGTGTATTAGAAGCTTGTATAAATATATGAACAAGGCTGGACTGAGTATCCGTGGGCAGAGGTCATTACAGAAATGAGGCAGTGAGCAAAGAGAGCATGGGTCTGGGGTAACTGCCGAAGACAAGACATGACGACGATGTCCTATAATGATACAAACATTGATGGTACAGCTCATATAGAGACTTTGTTAAGAAATAAATTTAAGGAGCTGGAGAGATGGCTCAGTGGTTAAGAGCACTGGCTGCTCTTGCAGAGGATTTGGGGTCAGTTCTCAGCACCCACATGGCAGCTAACAACCATCTGTAACTCCAGTTCCAGGGGTCCAACGCCATCTCCTGACCTACATGAGCACTGCATGGCACGGGTGCACTAAGACACATTTGGACAGTACACTCATACACACAAAATAAAAATAAACAAAAGAATTTAAAATAAATTTAATAAACATAAACTACATTCTGTAAAATATAGCTACAATCCACTTACTATTAAACAGTAAATTCTGTTGTGTACCCTACTCAACAAGGTAAATCTATGTATATGTGCATTTCATTCATACACATATAAATGCTGATGTGACCATATAAAAATATATATACAAATACAAATAAATCTAAATACATAAAAATAAGTATATATACATGACACACATCCATATGTAATACTATCCAGTACTTCACATTGCTGTCATTTTAGACATACTGTTATTCCACAAAAGCAGGAATACCATGTGCACAATTTTTTAGAATCTTTCTTATAAATTTACTAGCAACAATTTGTGTTAGAGCATTTTCCACAAAAGGTTTTCCTTAGCCAGGCGTGGTGGCACACGCCTTTAATTCCAGCACTCAGGAGGCAGAGGCAGGCGGATCTCTGTGTGTTTGATGCCAGCCTGGTCTACATAGCAAATCCAGGCCAGCTGTGGCTGCAGGGAGACCCTATCTCGAAAAGACCGAAAAAAAAGGTTTTCCTTTATCTGAGATCATTGGAGTTAGATCACGAAATGAAACCACATTTTTTGGGGGGGGCGGTCTTTTGAGTCAGGGTCTTCCTGTAGACACAGCTGGCCTAGAACACTCTATGTAGACCACATTGGCCTCCGATCTCACTGAGAGCCACCTGCCTCTGCCTCCCCAGTGTGGGTGCCCTGCGAAATCACAACTTTTAACAAAAAAAATTAACATCTACTACATGGACATAGGTGATTATTACAAATTATTTTATGAGTAATTTTTCTAAGACTTAATGTGTTTAAAAAGAAATGGAGAGGGGCTGGAGAGATGGCTCAGTGGTTAAGAACACTGGTTTTTTCTTGCAGAAGACCCTGGTTCGAATCCCAGCACCTATATGGCAGCTAACAACTGTCCATAATGCCAGTTCCAGGGGATCCAGCAGCCTCTACTGACCTCCATGGGCACTGCACGACATGGGTACACTTACCTATATGCAGGCAACACACTCATGCACATAAAATAATAAAATATTTTTTTAAAAATGGACAGTGGGATGTATTCTCTATAATGAACTGTGTCATGGCAATTAGATCTCTTATAAAATGTTCTCTTCAGGTAACTCTAGAACATTTTATTTGGGGATATACAATGGACTGGGAATTGATTTCTTCATAAGTTCTGTTGTCAAAGACCTTCTCTTGTGCAAAAGACACACGTCTCCCAGTGTGAATTCTACGGGGAACATTCTGTGAGGACGTATGACAAACAATTCCTCACTCACAGCATTCAGAAGGTTTCTCTATGTTGTGAGTTTGTTGATGAGATGTCAACTCTGACTTCTGCAGGAAAGCTTTCCCACATTTCTGACTGACCAAACAGTTTCCCCACCATGAGTCCTCTTACGACTTTGGAAATCTGACCCTGTAGTGAAGGCCTTGGCATGTTCAGGGCACACATAGGGTTTCTCTCGTGTGAATTCCCTGATGCTGTTGGAGTCGAACTTAGAGGCTAAGGCGTTCCCACAGTAACTGCATCTGTAGAGGTGTCCCCTGAGTGAACTTTCTGGTACCTGCTGAGCTCTAATCTACTGTCAAAGGTTCTCCCACACTCACTGCGTTCATGTTTTGCTTTAGTATGAACTTTCATATGTACATTAAGGTGTCCCTTTCGGGTGAAGGCCTTTCCACATTTGCTACATCCATAAGGCTTCTCGCCTGTGTGAATTCGAAGATGCACTTTCAATTCGGACGGTGCTCGGCACAACTTTCCACAGTCTTGGCATTCATAAGTCTTCTCTCCAATGTGAGTTTGACGATGAGATATCAACTCTGATTTCTGGAGGCAGGCCTTCCCACATTTGTGACAGATAAAACGGCTTGCCCCACTATGAGTGATCTTATGTCTATGGAAATTTGACTTAGCAGCAAAGGCCTTCCCACATTCAGCACACACATAGGGCTTCTCTCCGGTGTGAACCCGTTCATGCTCTTGGAGTCGAAACTTAGAGGCGAAGGCTTTCCCACAGTTGCTGCACTTGTAAGACTTCTCCCCTGTGTGAATTCTTCGCTGCCTGCTGAGCTCTGACTCCTTCCTGAAGGCTCTCCCATGCAAATGGTGTACATGATTTCTTTCTACATGATGTTTCTCTTTAGTATGAACTTTCATGTGTAGATTGAGGTGTGCTTTTCTGGAGAAGGCATTTCCACAGACTCCACATTCATAAGGCTTCTCACCTGTGTGAATCCGATAATGCACCTTCAGGCTGGATGTTGTACTGAAAAATTTCCCACAGTCTTGGCATGCATAAGGTTTCTCTCCAGTGTGAGTTCGCTGATGGGATTTCAAGTTTGACTTCTGGAGGAAGGACTTGCCACATCTGTGACAGACGAAGGGCCTTTCCCCACTGTGAGTCATCTTATGTGTGGAAAAACCTGCTCTGCTCCTGAAGGCCTTCCCACAGTCACTGCACACAAAGGGTTTGTTTCCTGTGTGTATTCGCCCATGCTCTCTGACTCGGAATGCAGAGGCGAAGGCTTTCCCACAGTCACTGCATTTGTAAGGTTTCTCTCCTGTGTGAATTCTTCGGTGCTTGGTGAGCAGTGACTTCTTCCTGAAGGTTTTCCCACATTGATCACATACCTGTTGTTTCGATACACGTTTTCTTTTAGTATGAACTTTCAGGTGTATTTTGAGGTGTCCCTTTAGGGAGAAGGCTTTTCCACAGGTGCTACATCCATAAGGCTTCTCGCCTGTGTGAATTCGACGATGCATCTTCAGTACGGATGGTGCACGGAATGATTTCCCACAATCTTGGCATTTATAGGGCTTCTCTCCAATGTGAGTTCGCCGATGGGCTATCAACTCGGAGTTCTGGAGGAAGGCCTTCCCACATTTTCGACAGACAAAATGTCTTTCCAGAGTATGAGTTGCCTTATGTTTATGGAATGTTGACCTGCCTCTGAAGGCCTTCCCACATCCAGTGCACACATAGGGCCTTTCTCCTGTGTGAATCCGCTCATGCTCTTGGAGTTGGAGCTTAGAGCCTAGGGCTTTCCCACAGTTGGTACATTTGTAAGGCTTCTCCCCTGTGTGAATTCTCTGGTGTGTCCTGAGGACTGACTTCTGGAAGAAGGCCTTCCCACAATCGGGACAAAGGAAAGGTCTCCCTGCAGTGTGGCTGATCTGGTGTTGACTGAGGGCTGACCTGTAACTTGAGACTTTCGCAGACACAGTACTTTCATCTGGGTTCTCCTGAGAATGAACTTCATTCTGCACGAGTGGCTGTTCACGGCTGAGACTTTTTCTACACCGACTGTGTTTGCATGCGGTCTCTCCTTTCTGGGTGCTGACAGAAGAACAGCGTGTAAAGAGCTGACCAGGTGTAACAAGGCCTTTAGTCTGTTTCAGGACCCTCTGATTTTGACCATCTGCTTCACGGTTGGTGTTCAAACGGTCTTGAGAGTTCGGAGGTCTGTTCTGTGTGGAAATGCGGTGAGGCCCCACAGGAATGGTTTCTTCGGCCTCCTCACATTCAAAACTCTTGTCTGTGCTCTGAATTCTCTTGTTGATGAAATCACCAGGCTTCAAAGGTGGGATCTGGTTTTGCTGATTTCCCCTTGTAGGTCCAGCATCCTGCTGCAGTTCTAAAATGGAACACTGAAAACCACCTCTTGTGACTTCACTGGCCATATCATCTTGAAACAATTTCTCAGGAACTTCCTGTTGTGGAGGGTCAAGCCTCAAATCGCCTTCTGTGCAGAGAAAGAGATGAAGGAAAAGGGACAAGGAAGGATGGAGGAGGAGTCACGGGTGATGGTTCAGTGGAGGAGGAGGAATCACGGATGATGGCAGGATCTGTGACACATCTGATTGAGACTGAACAAAGGTACTGTTGTAGCTTGTTTCTCCACTGCTGTGACAAAATACTCTGACCACTACCAACTTGGGGAGGAAAGGGTTTATTTAGCTTACATATCCCAGGTCACAGTTCATCAGGGAGCCCAAGGTAGGAACTCAGGGCAGGAACCTGGAGGCAGGAGCTGGAGCACAGGCCATGGAGGAACGCTGCTTACTGGCTTGCACCTCTGGCCCCTGCTCAGCCTGCTTTCTTATGCAACACAGACCCACCTGCCCAGGGGTGGTACCACCCACAGTGCGCTGGGCCCTCCCACATCACTCAACAATCAAGAAGATGCCCCATGGACATCGCCACAGGCCAGACCAATGAAGGAAATTCCCCAATTGAGGCTCCCTCCACCCAGGTGTGTCAAGTTGACACTAAAGCTGCCCAGCACAGCTACTAAAGATGTTGATGATGGTGTCAAAAGCAGAAACATCCCTAGAGCCCTTATGATATGCCAAGTACTCAAGAGTTCATGGCATGCGCCACGCAAGCTTCTACGCAATGGACACCGCAAGTCCATTTAACTCTCACGATCACCCCACAAGGTGATGAAACCCACTCTCCCCACTTTACAGATGTGGAAAATGAGGCAAATGTCTGAACAGTGGATGTTCAAGAGGATAAAGTGAATGTCATGTGTTTGTGTAATCTTAGTTGTCTTTAAATTTTATGTACACGACTGTATTGCCTGAATGTATATAAGTGCATGCAATGCCTGCGGAGGTCAGAAGAGGGTGTCAGATCCCTTGGAACTGGAGTTACTGATGTTTGTTAGCTACCATGTGGGCGCTGAGAACCGAACCTGGGTCCTCTCAAGAGCAGTTGGTGCTCTTAACTGCTGAGCCACCTCTCCAACCCCTTGTAATCACAGTGAAAAATGAATGGCTGTGTATCACCTGGGGGTTTAATGTCTGTCTACCTAGCCAAGCACTGGGTTCAGACACTCATTGGGGGGGGACATGACACACGACACAAAAAGCTTAATCTTCACAGTCAATGAGTTCCTTTGTTCGCATACTTCAAACGTTGGCTGTACACTGACATTGCCCTGTACTCCCTTGTCTGTCTGTCTCCTCCAGGCCTGGATATCTGGGCTACCTACCAAGTCATCGTGGTTGCCAGTCAGACTCCATACCTCACCTTTCTCACAGATTAGCAAAATGATTTTGGCCACAGATGTCAACATCTTCTGCTGCACCTTAGCCGGCCCCTAGTCCGCATTTCTATCAGGGTTTTGTAGCAGTTTTTGTACAAACTTGGGAGTGGAAGGGCCACCCAGGCGACTACCCTGGAGGAAAGAGTGCTTAAGTAGCCTAATAACACTCCCTCACTACTGGCGAATCGTCACTCACCTCCATACCCCTGGTTTGGAACTTCAGCCTCCTCCTCCTGTGCCTTTGCTTTCATCATCCTGAAGAAGGCCTCAGGCCTCGGAATAGCATACCCTGTGAGTTGGAAGGGTACTGGGTTTGTGTGTACCTTTACAGGCCAGGCAGTGAAGCTTTACTCTGGCTCATTAGAAAAATATCAACTTTTCTACTGGCCACAAAATAATACTTGGGGCATACAAAAAGAATGAAAACACCATGACAAACCAAGTGAAAGAAAAACAAAAACAAGAAAACACACACACACACACACATGTACACATACGCACACACACACAAAGCCAATACCATACTCCTGACAGCCCACCATGACCGCAAACAGAAGCCAGTCTCAACGAGGCCTTTCTATGTTTGTGGGCCAGCTGCGCTCACCCACTGACACGAGGTGGCTGTAGATCTCCAGCATCACGTCCTGGTACAGGCATCTCTGGGCAGGGTTCAGGTGCCGCCACTCCTCCTGGGTGAACGCCACAGTCACGTCCTCAACTGTCACCAATCTCTGTAACAACATATGTTCAGTGTGCATCACTGACACCAGCAAATGAGTGATGTGAATCAGGACCAGTTAGGACCTTCACATGTATTTTGGAGGATAAATATAAAAAAAAAATCACTGTCTACCTGCATGCTATTTTTTTAATGCCCCTAAAGGAGGCTAGAAACAGATTCTAATGCTATAATTGTTTTTAAAAGATGTTCTTTGTGTGTATGATTGTTTCCCCTGCCTGTGTGTACATGCACCTTGTAGGTGCAATGCAGAAGAGGGCAGGAGATTTCCTGGAACTGGAGATACAGAAGGATGTGAGCCACCATGTGGGTGCTGGGAACGAAACATGGGTCCTGGAGAAGGGCAGTCAGTGCTGTTAGCCACTTTTGTATTTTTTTTCTCTTGTATTTCTCCTCCCTCCTCCCTCCCTTCCTCCCTCCTCCTCCTCCATCATCTTCCTCTCTCTCTCTCTCTCTCTCTCTCTCTCTCTCTCTCTCTCATTTGTGTAATGTAGTGTGCGTGCCCTAGCATGGCTGTGTAAGTGAAAAGACAACTTTCAGGAGTTGGTTCTCTCCCTCCAGCTTCTGGTTCCTGGGGATCCAACTCAGGACATCAGGCTTGGCAGCTCCTTTACCCTCCGTGTCTCTCCCTTGCCCCCTCTCTCTAACACTGTCACAAAAATAAGCAGAATGACATTTATTTGCCAAGAGAATGCTACACTATAGTTGTGCTGGACTCGAGTTCAATAAATTATATAAGCTTGTATGCTTACATGAACTCACAGAGGTACAAATTACCAAGCACTCAAGTTCAACCATGAGCCAAATAGGGAACCCGGGAACTGGGCTTGGTGGTTTGCTCCTGTAATACCAGCACTCCCACAGCTGAGGTCAGTTACTGAAGTTGGAGGCCACCCTGGACTACATGGTGAGTTCCAGGTCAGCCTGAGCTGTGTAGTAAGGACCTTGGTTTCAAAAAAGAAGCAAAAAAATCAACCAGACAAGAAAGGGGACAGGACAGAAGTACAGAGAAAGCAATCTGGGGGGTAAATTAGAAAAAGCAGCTGTTCTGGGGAGTGGCCGTCTGCTCACACTGAACACGTGCAGTCACACCAAGAACACTTCTTCTAGCCAAGCCAGAGAGGCAGGAATGCTCATGAGTAGATAAAGAAGTCATGAGCAATTCACACTGTGCTGTGAGCTTCTACTTTACACCCTGGAACAAGCCACACTTTGTTTCAAATAGTTTCCCGATCCTCTGTAGATAACTGTCCTTTGATCTGCCTACCTTCTGTCTTGAACGCCTGCTTAGAGTACCTGGAGCATGCAGGAAATTACAGAGACTAAGGAGACTTAAACAGGAAGTGAGACATGTAGTGAGAGATGGAGAGCCCACGTTCCAGAAAAGCATGCAGTCACGCTGGAGAGGCAGGAAGGTCCAGGACGAGGTCACCAAGCAGCTGATCACCCTCTCTAAGAGACTGTGAAGGTGGATGGCATCGAATTCCAAGCAGCGGCACTGGGGACAGCTCATGGAAAAGCATAGGGGTGTTTAAATTGCATCCGATTGCACCAGTCTTGACTGCACGGAAGGAACTGCCGCAGTCTCCTCCCCACGTGCCCTTCCTGCTGGATCCAGTTGGAGGCTGATGCCGAGGGGGTGGTGGAAAGAGCTGCACTAGAGGGGCCTGGGTGATGACGGCGGCCTGAAGGAAGTCGGCAGCACCCATGGCTGCTAAAACACGGTGGGACAGCCTGGGCTCCTGAGAGAACCGGGCCGACAACGCCTGAACCCAAGGATGAACTTCAGGACCACCAAGAAAGATGACGGACAAGATGAGCACCCGAGAGGCTCTGCGGCTGCCGCACACACCGTGCCGCACACTCCGTGATCTTGCAGAAAAGACGAGGCAAGTGGGACATGACAGAGGCTCAGACACACGTCAAGGGACGTACAGAGGGATCGGGAGACGTCCAGCAGCCGGCTCAGAAGGAAACGGATGGACTCCGTAGCGCATTCTGTTTAGCTCTATAGAAGTAAATTAATGTTTAAAACACTAAGGTTTCCAAAGTCAGAGTACACTTTACAGTTCTAGAACATCTCAACTCAGGGCTGGAGAGATGACTCTCTCTAGAGAGTTGGCAGTTAGAGCACTGGCTGCTCCTGCAGAGGACCCAGGTTTGAATTCCAACACCCACATAGCAGCTAACAACCATCCGTAACTCCAGTTCCAGATGATCCAACACCCTCTTCTGGCCTCTATGGGCGCTATACAGCACAGGTGCACTTACACACATGCAGGGAATACACTCATACACATAAAATAAAAAATAAATCAAAGTTTTAAAAAATAACACCTCAACACTAAGCATCCACATTTCAAGTGCTAAGTAGCTAAGAGGCAGCAGAGATAGAGAAGGAACCTGGGGGACCTGAGCTCCGTCCAGGTTTAGTCTCTCACCAGCAAAAGGGCAAGAATTCTGACACAGCTGAACAAGCTGCCTTAAAAAGGACTCCACTCCCTCTACTGAAAACAAAACAAATGCTCACAAAGATCATGAACCACATATGCAATCAAACTTGTCTTACTCCTCTGTCTTTCTGTGTAAGAATTCTCTGCAGAAAATCTTATGTTTATGACCAATGAATACTAAGTATTGCATAAATTGCTTTGATCTGAACATTCACAGCACAGCACATGCTCTGATGAGCATCATGTGCTCATGACAAACACACAACAAATTTTAAAATTAAAGTCAGGGATGATGGCCCACGCCTTTAATTCCAGCACTCAAGAGGCAGAGGCAGGTGGATCTCTGTGAGTTCAAGGCCAGCCTGGTCTACATGGTGAGTTCCAGGACAGCTGGGGCTGCAGGGAGACCCTGTCTCAAAAAGACCAAAAAAAAAAAAAAAAAAAAAAAAAAAAAAAAAACAAAAAAAAAAAAAAAAAAAAAAAAAAAAAAGAATTAAAATCAAATGAAAAGCACCAGAAGATGTTCCCTCAGGAAGAAGGAGCCGACAGCCAGACTCCAAAGCACACTGCCAGTCTGGCTGCTTGCCCCTGAGAACTTGAGCCATGGTGCTACTCTGAGCCTCAACTTCTTTCTCTTCTGTAAAATGGGGACAACGGCAGTGGCTCACATGTCCCTTATTTGGATAAGAGTTGTGCCTGGGCCACAGGAAGCTGCGGTGAGCTCGTGTAATCATTCCGGCCGCTGCTGGTGGCTACTGGTGACTTCACTTTGTGAAAAACATTTAAACTCTTGGAGAAAATGGCAAGACAAGGGTAACCAAGGAAAACATTCATATTTGTGCATGAGAACACATCTGAACAGGTACACAGTCACAAAAATCACCCGGAAGGTGAATCTGACCAGAAAGGGACCCGTGTCGTGGAGGGTGGACATGGAGAGCATGCTTTTGAGCACTGGGGATGGGAAGATGTGGACCAGGGTCACAGCTAAGAGAACAAGAGACAGGAAAAGAACCCTGTCATTAAAGACTGGAAATGGGGGTGGTGGTATAGGCCGTTCACACTAATCCTTTAGCCGACAGCCGACGGCAGGAACAGCAGTTTGAGGACAGCCTGACCCACACAAGCTCCAGGTAGCCTCAGGGACACAGACTCTGTGTCTGAACAAAACAATGATAAAACAAACATTCTGAGGTTTGGGGACTGGATACTGTGTAGTCCACTCTTACCTGGGGAATCAAGCCCATCTCAGGATTAGCGACCCCTGGAGCTGCTTCCTGTTTCTACCCTCAAGACCTGGAGCACCAAATGCAGAGCAGCCCCGTTTACCTTCCATGGTGGACTCTGCACTTCTGGTCCCGGGACCCGGGCCTTCTGGGATGGACTCACTCCTGCAGGCATGGCTCCTGTGGACATCCACTCTTGGTCCTTCTTGGTAGCACATCCAGTGTTCTCAGCAGCCACACCTGGGTGGGGGGGTAGAGGCTCTAGGCAGTTTCTGGACAGAGCCAGCCATGGCATAAGAGGAAATCCAGCAGCCTGAATGAGCTGGTCTGAGTCGGAGTCTGCAGAGACACAGGACAGGGAATGGGTCTTGTTATACTTTTTATGTGTGTGCACAGGAGTCTGTGTGGAGGCCATGCTGACATCTGGAGTCTTCCCTGATTGCTCTCAATCCTCCTCACTGAGACAGCATCTCTCAGTTGAACCCAGACCTTCCTCACACAGCTTGTCTAGCTAGAAATCTTACTCGGGGATCTGCCGTCTCGGCCTTCTGAGCATTGGAATTGCAGGTGAGGTGTCACATCCACTCAGCACTGATGTGGGTTCTGGGGACCTCTACCTGAGACCTCACGCCTGCTACTGGTTTAAGCATGGCACGAGGCAATGAATTTCTGAGAGCCATAATGATGACCAGTATGTAATCAGGTCATCAAGCCCTCGGCACCTGCCCAGAACATGGTAAGTAAACAGGAATACAACTTAGCAAGCTGTCAAGGTGAATTCTTGATTATTTTTTATTTATTTACAGTCATTTTGAGACAGGGTCTCCCTGTAGTAGCCCCAGCTGGCCTTGAACTCACAGAGATCCACCTACCTCTGCCTTCTGTGTGCTGGGGTTAAAGGCGTGCACCACCACGCCTGGTGAACTTTTGATTTTCATCCAGCCCCTCCAGTTGTACGCCATAAGCATTAGTAAACCTCTTTATTTTGAAGCTAAGCATGTAATGAAGCTTTATTTTAGCTATCAAAATGATTTTTAGCAGGTGCGAAAGGACAAGCAGAAAGCTCGTGCACCCTCCAGAATGGAGCAGACTGAGCGGAGAGCCTGTGAACATCCTTGTTTCTTAAAGCAGGAGGAAGCTGTGTGCAGTACAAACTTTCTCCTAGCGGCAGTGGCAAAACATGTGGGTTCCACTCCTCACACTGAAGAACACACTGACCCCGCAACCTCATGTGCTCCCCCATGTGGCCAGCATCTTTCAGAGAGCGATGAGAGATGATAGCCCTTTCTGGTTCCTGCTCTGAATTTCTCAACTTTAGTGTGTTCATCCATGACAGGCCACTGAAAGGAAACATGGCTGTGAAGGCCAGATCACGGTTTAGACACCATGGCCACAGGGTGGACTTCTGTCATGAATTAGTTAAGATGTCCCCTACAGGATGTCCAGGGAAACAAGGGTAAACAGTAAACATGTCTAATTTGCATCTCCTTCATAAACAGTTTATTTTAAAATATATTATTTTTATTTTATGTGTATTAGTGTATTGCCTGCATGTGTGTAAGTGCACCTGTGTCATGCAATGCCTTCAGAGGCCAGAAGAGGATGTTAGATCCCCTGGAACTGCAGTTATGTGTGGTTTTAGCCACCATGTGGGTGCTGGGAATCAAACCCAGGTCCTCTGCAAGAGCAGCCAGCGCTCTTAACTGCTGAGCCACCTCTCCAGCCCCACATATGCAGTTTACACAGAAAGCTACCCCTGTGTGGATTCTTATAAAATACCCTTGAGACCCAGGATGCATGTGTGCTGATAAAATTCTGCATTTGCCAGGGGATCCACAAATCTTCTTTAATCTTCTGGCCTCTCCTGACCTTCCTTCCCTGGATCCTGAACTTGTTTCCCAAATTTGGCCCCTATAGGTTTCCATCCCCTATCTGAGGACACCTGAGATGAGGAAGACAGAACTCTTGCATCCTCAGGAAACCCTCTGGGGGGCTCTGGCAAATGCCTTCCCAGGCAGGGAACTGTTAATGGTTAGAAAGTTAGGCTGGCTGTTCCTGTCTGCACTGCAGGATGGTCACGAAGACACCTGGACACCAGGTATGGGAGCTGGGAGCCACGGAGGAGAGCTGGAATCCTGGGTAGGTGATGTGGCGCTTCAGTTCCATCAGGGCTCCTTATCAAAGAGGACCTGCATGCTGGACAGAACACAGAGCTCAAACAGCCCCTGGTCAGAACAGTCAGGCCCAGGGGCGGAAGACAGCTATAGACTATGCAACCTACACTCCCTGTATGGTGTTAGAGCTGTGAGAGCCGAGAAGGTGGTACAATCTGGAGGGGCTGGTGCCTGACCACCTGCTGTGCCTCTGGGATAAAGGTGCAGAGAGTCTCTCCATAACTGTGGAGGAGGTGGAGAAGTTGGCTCTGTCACCAGCCAGCCCTCTCCAAGGCAGTGCTCGAAGGTCTTGAGACCACAGATTTGGGAGAAACACTGACTGAAAGCTGGGTAACAGCTGGAGATCATCTGTTATGAGCTGATGATAATGAGACAGTGAGTGAGTGGAACCTTCCAGGGGTTTGATGCAGATCTGGGTTGCCCACTCCAAAGTCAGGGGTGGCCCAAACCCATGTAGGCTAAGTGTGACGAGGCTACCTAGACCAGAGGAGTGCACTAAGGAGTAGACCCCTAAGAGCTGAGATACAGGTGGTCTTCAGACTAATACAATACAAACTGACACCAGGCATGGGTCTAAAGAGATGGTGCCCGAGGAACCAAGTCCCTACTGAGAAGGCAGTACTCCGGCTCCTGATGCCTAGTGTACTGATGGACCACAGGCCACATGGACAGCAGTGACCGTCCAGCTGTACACTGATGCTATCAGGACTGGGCAGGGGTCCTTCAAAGCTGCTGGTGGACTGAACCAAGGGCTGTATGGCTGGTAGTCATGAAAGAGCCTCCAAACTTGATGTGTGCACTGATAATGGGCAGCACAGAGGGGCTGAGCATCCTACACTGTATCTGCAGGATCTGGACACAGGCACTGGGCTCCTGTGGAGCTGCTCATGTGGGAAGACTTTTGGAATGTAGGAAAATAGAGACTGTGGACAGCCTATCATATGGCGGGCCATACACCTCTCTCTGCTCAGCCCAGGAATGCAGGAGGCTGATGAATCAGCTCGTGTTTGGTGGATACAAAGACCAGTACTGGAGGACGCCTCTACGACTGTATATGCAAGAAGCAAGGCCATGATGTGGGTAAATGCCCTGTGGAGACTCGACAGGATGCCTGCCTGTGATGTCAGTGTGCACAGGCATTCCACAAGCTGCAGCAACTGGCAAGGACGCTGGTGAGATCAGGAGGGAGCAGCACCATGCCACACATTCGCAAGTGGGCTGCACAGAGCCCTCCTCTGTGTGAAGGTTGTACTTAGCCTTTACCATCATTAATAGGGCCATAGGTCTCTCGTTGATTACTCCAGCGCCCAGGCTGACCAGAAGGCAACCATCCCGGCCTGGACACCCCCCTGTACTGCATATGGTTAGCCCTATACTGTGGAAAGTGACTGGAAGGCACAATGACCAATACTGAAGCCTAAGCTGCATGTGCCATGCTGCCCCCCCCCCCAGCATCAGGGATGCTAAAGAGATACACTGGCCTTGTGGGAACAGAGTCCCCCCACCCGTCAAAGGATGGAAGACCTGCCTTGATGGAGGGGTTCACACCCTAAATGAACAGCCTCAGAAGGGGAGGTTGGCCCCGTCACAGGTTCTGCTATAGAAAGAGCAGCTTTGTTGTGAGCTGTCTCCAAGGAGGAGGATCCCTCTCATCATCCCACAGTTGGAGTCTCCAGGACAGTTGTTGCCCACACAAAAGTGATCTAAGGAGGCTTAGGTATAAAAATGGAACAGAGGTGGGCGGATCTCTGAGATCAAGGCCAGCCTGGTCTACATAGTGAGTTTCAGACCAGCTGGGGGTTCAGGGAGATACTGTCTCAACAGAACCAAAATTAAAAAAAAAAAAAAAAAGGACCTAAGAGATTCCCCTGAGCACCGCTGGTTAGGGCCCCTGACTCCCTGGGACATGGGAGTGAAATATCATGTGCAGCTATGACCTCCTATGGTGACAAACTAGCCAGGTACCTTCACCCTACAAAGGACTCTGGGTCACCCTGCAAAAGTTCTGAAAGGTGCTTTAGGGGGGCAATAGGGTCCACTTCCCACCTTTCAGTCACAGTGATAGAGGGCTATCTCCTGATGCAGTCGGAGACACTACCAGGTACTGTACACCAGGGAAAAGCCACTTGAAGCCACCATACTAAGGCAGGATGGGAAAGTGGCCTACATCCTCCATCCTCCGAGGGTGAGCACTTGCCCAGCTTGGGTCCATCCCCTAGCAGTGTTTTTGCCCAGCGGATGACCTAAAGAAACGAAAACAGACTTGTCCTAGCAGAGCATAAGGCCAGTGCTCTCAATCACACCCATAAGCCCTAAAGGCTCTGACCTTTCTCAAGGATGAGATAAAGATAGAATGGCCCTAGATTGGCTGACAGCTGCCCGTGAGAAAACTTGAGCTGTGTTACACACCAACTGTTGCATACACTTCCCAGATAAGGAACAAAGCAGAACAGCTGCCTTGCAAAATGTAAACAATGAGGTGCAAACAATCCAGCAGTTGACTGCAGACCCCCAGACCAATGGTGGACTAGCCGTTCACTGATCTTAGGTGGACCATCCTAACCATAGAAGCTATAGCCTTGATCCCTATATTGTTGCTGTGGACCTTGGACCCAAGGGTGTCCCTTGGGTCAGTTCCAATAAAGCATCTAAAGTCTAAAATGGTGGGAATGGAAACAAGGCTGTGAAGGCCAGGGAAGGGTTTAGACAATGTAGTAATGGTGTGGATTTCTGGGATGACTTAGTTAAGATGGCCACTACAAACCAGGGTGTGATGGCGCACACCTTCAATCCCAGCACTTGGGAGGCAGAGGCAGGTGGATCTCTGTGAGTTCAAGGCCATTGTGGTCTACATAGTGAGTCCAGGCCAGCCGGGGCTGCAGGGAGACCCTGCCTCCAAAAGACCAAAAAACAAACAAACAAACACCAACAAACAACAACAACAACACCACAAAAACTCCCCAAAACAACAAAGAAAAAACCAAACTGTCTTCCAGACTTATGGAATCATTACTGCTTTGAAGCTAAAACGCTCCCAGGAAAACCCCACTACCCCCACAAAGGGGTTCAGGTAACATGCCCCAAACGGAGTCCCCATCATCTTTGGCCAACGGCCATCACTGATCTTTACCATCTCCTCAGGGACCCTAGGAGAGGACACCACCGACCCATCCATCTTCAAAGGACCCAATCCTCAGACAACGATCTCCGGAATTAGGATTTCTTTTCTACAGCGATCACCTGTAGCTCTGGTTTCCTCCAGGAAATACCTTTTCAGAATGGTCACGGCCTGCGCCCAGGAGCCCTGGCCTGGGACCAGCACAAAGACCCTGGTGACCTGAGCCCAGACCTAAAGGTTCAGAGCCTCTCTCCAGCACTACCATCCGCTGCAAACGTTTACACGGGGAAGGTGGGGGCAGATGGAGATGGCTCTGCGTCCTCGGCTTGGGACCCAACCAAGCCCCCCGCCCCCCAGGCCTGCGGGCTCCATCCTCAGCAACCTGCTGTCCTGACTCCTCCCCATCCCCACCGAAGTCCTCCACCTGCAGCTCCAGCTCCACCCAGCACGGACTCCTGCAGCACCCACGGGGAGTCCTCCCCAGGGTCCCCAGTGCTGTCCTCGGTGCTCAGAGGACAACGTCCACAGGGGAAGAACAGAGGACCACGCAGCAGCGGACAGGACGGTCCACCTTAACTAGGAGCCCTTCCCCCTGCAGCCCGGCGTCAGAGTCGTCACAGGAGAAACCACCAGTCACCGCGCAAGGCATCCTCCCACCTCAGAGTCAAGAGTTTGCACACGGCACGCCACTCACCACACTAGGAGCTCTGCTCACGGCCCTCCGCCAGCTCCAGTGGACTCTCCTCCCCTGTAACGGGAATCTCGGATGGAGATGTTCAGTCACCTCGTGGACTTGCCCAGGAAACAGCACTAGGAAGATTTGACTAAGACTCCATGGCCACTTTAGGGGACAACCGGTTTCAATCAGAATCTGGGTTCATTGACGCACCGTTACATGCGCAGTAGCGCTTCCGACGCTGTGGCGTGTCTGCCAGTAGTAATCATGGCGGCTCTATGGCTCCTTCTCCTTTAGAAACTGTGGTGTCAGGATATCTGAGGCCGCCATCCTTATTTCCGTACAGCCGGGGAAGGTGATTGTAAGTCACAGAGCGAAGTTGCAGGCTGTCCCACGTAGTCAACTTATTCAATAGTTGTGAGTCCAACTATGTGAAACTGATATTGCGTATTCTGAAAAGTACCTTTTGCCAGTGTTTTCCCAGGGACTAAAGTTTTCCCCTGAATTAGTGATAGTTTAAAACTGGATGTGACTGGATGTGGGTATTGGGAAATAGGAGGTGAAGCTGGTTTTCAAATTCATCTTCCTCATTTGATTATTTTCATACAATATATATTTTCATTGAGGTTTTGTGCATTTCATACATTTTAATCATATTTAGACCTTCGCATATGCATCCCCCCAAAACCTCCCCCACCGGATTTCGTGCATTCTGTCCCATATGTTAAGACATATAGGACATATGTCCCTTGGTGTGAGTTCATCCACTGGAGCCTGGTCAGCCTATCTGGCGTCACTCCCTTAAAGGAGACTGATTCTCCCTCATCCAGCAGTGATCAGTTGTCAATAGGTCCTCAGTGATTTAATTTTAAAATTTTATTTATTCCTTTTATGTTTTGCCTGCATGTATAAGTGCACCACGTGCATGCAATGCCCTGTAGAGTCCAGAGAGGGTGTTGGATCCCCTGGAACTGGACTGGACTTACAGTTGTTAGCTATCTAATTTCTTTCTGCCTACTGGTTCTTTCTTTTTTTTGTTTTTTGTTTTTTGTTTGTTTGTTGATGCAGGTCTCCCTGCAGCCCCCAGCTAACTGGCCTGGAACTATTCTGTAGACCAGGCTGGTCTCACTCTCACAGAGATCCACGGGCTTCTGCCTCCAGAGTGCTGGGATTAAAGGCCACCATGCCCTGCTCCAGTAGGTTCTTGAATTTAGATTTATCCCTCCTTGTAATACTCGCATCCCCAAAACTCATGTGCACATTACCCAAGACCACTTTTATATGAGGAAAGGCCAATACTAGTGTGATCCATTGTATGCTATTACTTTTTCTCTTGCACTTAAAAAATTTTCTTTTTAATGTGTGTCAGTGTTTTGCCTGTATGTACCTGTGTGTGTAATGCCCAGCATTCACAAGAGGGTATTGGATTCCCTGGAACTGGAATTTCAAGTGGTTGTTAAATGCCATGTGGATGCATCTAACACAAAAGTGTTTACATTTCCTATATATGTTATGCACATAGACTCAAGATTTTTTTTTTTTTTTTTTGGTCTTTTTGAGACAGGGTCTCCCTGTAGCCCCAGCTGGCCTGGGACACACTATGTAGACCAGGCTGGTCTCAGTCTCACAGAGTATCTGCCTCCCAAGTGCTGGGATTAAAGGCGTAGGTCATCACACCCTGCTTGGCCCTTCTTTTTATTTAAAAAAAAATATTGATTTCTGCATATATGTGTGTGCCTCTGTGTACATTTTTGTGTGTGAGGTGTGAGCTTGCCTGTGGTCAGAGAAAGTTTGGGTTTTGGTGCTTGCCTTCCACCTTCTGGAGGCAGGGTCTCTCCTTTGTCAGTGCAGTTTAGTGTAGCTGGCTGGTGAGCTTTCAGATTCATTCTCCACCACCAGTCTCACCACCAGAGTGCTAGAATTACAACTAAAATCCCTCTTTTGGAGGAGATGTAAACAACATCCACTGTTTCCCCCAACCTTGGTCCCAAGGACAAACCAAGGTATGATTCCATCAAAGTGCACTCTGGAAAGCCAACGAGTTTATTGGACTTGCTTACACAGCAGTGGGTGTGGGGTTACTTACAGGAATATAGGAACTCTCTCCTAAGGTTGCACCAGAAAGTCTTCGCCAAGCATGGATGATGGCTTGCCCATTGTTGCATAAATGGAGCCCCTCCTCACCTAGACTTCTCCAGCCTATATGCTCTAGCCCCTCCCCCAGGCCATGTGCAATTAGGGCTGAATTGCCCAGTATCAGTTATAAGGTGTGGCTGGATACTGAGGCAAGATTCCCACGACTCTCCCTGCCCTTCCTTCTATGCTGGGGAGTCAGCAGTCAACAATTCCAGCTATGGTGATCATTGGTAAGTAGGCACAGCCGAGCTCAGGAAGATGGTGTCTGTCAGACTCTGAAGACAGTCCTGTACAACAGTGTGACAGACCAGCTGTTCTGTGACTTCAGGGGGATCCTCTAGTCTCCATCTTCCATCTGGCCATCAGGGTGTTGGAATCACAATGTGTACAACATCCAGCTTTATACACGCGGATTCCAGGGATTAGAATTCAGGTCATCAGTATTGTATCAAGTGTTTTTACCTGCTGAGCTCTTTAAGGGAGTTTATTCCACCTTCCAGCCATCCCTAATTCCTATCCATTCATCTACCCATTCTCTTTTTAAAAATATTTTATTATTTTTATTTATTTTTAAACATTCTTTTTTAAATTTTTGTTTTATTATTTTTATTTTATGTGTATGCGTATATTGCCTGCGTGTAGGTAAGTGCACCCATGTCGTGCAATGCCCAAGGACAGAAGAGGCTGTTGGATCCCCTGGAACTGGAGTTATGTACAGTTGTTAGTTGCCATGTGGGTGCTGGGATTCAAACCCGGGTGTTCTGCAAGAACAAGCAGTGTTCTTAACCGCTGAGCCATCTCTCCAGCCCCTTATTATTTTTATTTTATGTGTATGAGTGTACTGCCTGCATGTATACCTGCCATAGCTGAACTCGGGTCCTCTGCAAGAGCAGCCAGTGCTCTTAACTGCTGAGCCATCTCTCCAGCCCTTCCCCCCCATTCATTCTGTCATGCCCAGGAGTTCTTCCTTACCAAACATTCACAGTAGAGGGGAAAGTTCCCTTATAGGGAATCTGCTGAAACATGGGGATAACATGCAAAACATGATGGGAAGACCGAGTGTCTGAAAACTTCCTTTCAGAGTTCAGGGATGCTGCTTCAGTGAGCTGTAGGAGACATGCTTCTGCGTTCCTCACAGGGACCAGCCACCGTTCGTTCTCATGCTTGGTGCAGCGAAGGGAGGACGTCCGACGGTTGGGCAGAGATTGGTGTCAGAGAGCCTGGTTCAAATCTCGGCTTTTCTCAAGACTGTATTTTTAATCTTGGGGAGCGCTCTACCAAACAGTTTGTATATTTGAGACAGGCTCTCACTCTAACACTGGCACAACTGTAACTCACTACGCAGACCAGTCTGGCCTCCCGCTCATAAGAGTTCTGCCCGCTTCTGTCTCCAGAGTGCTGGGAATAAAGTTTTGTGCCACGGTGTCCAGCCTATATAGATTTTTTTTGTGTGTGTCTTTTTGAGACGGTCTCCTTGTAGCCCCAGCTGTCCTGGAACTCACTATGTAGACCAGGCTGGCTTTGAACTCACAAAGATCCACCTGCCTCGGCCTAGATTGATTTTAAATTATGTGTTCGTGTGTCTCTGTGTGGTACATGTATGTGACTGCAGTTGTCTGTGGAGGTCGGAAGAGGGCACCTGAGCCCCTGGAGCTGGAGTCACAGCAGTTGGGAGCTGTCCAAAGTGGGTGCTGGGAAGGGAATTCGGGTCCTCTGCAAGTGCAGTAAATGCTCTTAAGCCCTGGGCATCTCTCGGGCCCCTCAAACGCTCATTCTTTGTTTCCTCATCTCTGAAATGGGGCTCAGAAGCAGAGAATGCCTCCTACAATGGCTGTGAAGAGTACAGGAGCTGAGAAAAGCTGCTCACAACTAGCTCCCCCCCCCCAAACAATTATTCATGACTTGTCAGTCTGACGTTGGGGCCCTTGAAATTGCTCAATTCTCAGATCTCAAAGACAGATCTTTTCACAAATCTGTGAAAATGCACCAGATTTTTGTAAAAGATTACAAAACAGGTGGCTCCATCAACACCCTCCTACCCTCCAGCTTCTTTAGTCTGATTCAACAGGCACAGGTACTGAGGGGGTAGTCCCAATATCTGCTTCTGAGCGGAAGAAGGAAATGAGTCAGAGATCCAGAGGGAGGTGAATACATTGGACAGAGGGGCTTTGAGGGAGGAAGAATGTGGGATCTCCAGGAAGGGACAACTTGCTAAAGCCTACAATCTGAGTGGTTATGGAGGGCCCAGGAGAATGAACTGTTCGACCTGAGCCCTATGTGTACACCCAGGTGATGGTTAGGGACAGGGATAAGAAAAGCCCTATACTCTTGGAAATGGCCAGTGGCTCTTTACTGCGGTTTCAAGATTTAATGAGACTTGTCCCCAGAGCTCTCTTACCATGTTCCTTAAAACTGCATGGGGCACCAACCTGGGCCATATTTGCAGTGTTTGCTCAGACCACAAGGGCCTTCTTGGTAGCACAGAGAGAAAAACAAGTGAGAATGGAAGGGGGGGGGGGGCTTCCCAATCAAAGTGGGAATGAGGGTACGCTTTGGGCAACTGCACCAAGTGGAGACTGGTTTTGCACTATGGCTGAAAGTGAGGGCACATCAGTGGCATTATTTCCTGTTCAAGGAGAGTTCAGTGAGGCAGACAGTACAGGTGGGCATCCTGCCCAGCACCTACCCTGCATGTCACCGCCTGGTTGGTGACAGCTGTTGATGTACTTTGTGGTCCTTGGGACTAAGGCTGTTGGTCCCACTGACGCATCCCTTCCTCAAAGGAAGAACTTCCAGAGGACTGACAGTTCCTACCTCAGTTCCATTTTTTTTTTTGCTAATTGTTCCCCGAGCTCCTGCAGAATATCCTTTGATCTGCCTACCCTGTTCCTGAATACCAGCTTAGAGCACCCTGTGAATAAAACGTTGAGAGTTAGAGATGCCATGCTTTTCCTTCTAAGGAACAGGGACCCTCCTGGTCCCATTTTCTTAATATTAAATTGTCTGTGATATTTTATTATTAGATACCTCACTGTCCCTCTGTGTCCACCAGTACCCAGCTGGGCAGGATGTAGCAGGATCCCACTGCCGCTAACCCACTTCTTGGTTGCCTACATCAGGTCCCCCAGGTTTAACACACTTAGTGGTTTGCTTCTTACTCACGGAGTGAAGGTACAAGCACATCCTTCACTTACAGATGAGAAAACGAGGGTAGAAGGTGCAATCCCCTGCTCAGTGGATGCAGAGAGTAGAACCAGGCTCAGACATAGGAACCTCACTCTTGGTAGTGTGTTGTTCTCTTTTTAGCTTGGGCGTGGTAGTGCACACCTTTAATCCCAGCATCTGGGAGGCAGAGTCAGGCGGGTCTTTGTGAGTTTGAGGCCAGCCTGGTCTACATAGCTCCAGGATAGCTGGGGCTACAGGGAGACCCTGTCTCAAAAAGACCAAAAAAACAAAACAAAACAAAAACCTAGTATGTACAAAGATGTGATCAGATTATCGTAAAACAAAGGATAGAGACTCCAAGAGCAGAGTGAACAGTACATGCCATGTCACGGGCTGGCACACCTCCTCAGCAAAGAGCCAGGCGATGGTACATTTCCAGTGTGGGGCGGTATGCTCTGCCACAAGTACTCAGTGCTGCCAACAGACAGTGAAAACATCCTTGGATAACATTTGTACAAAAGAAAGTGGCTGTGTTAAAAACAAAACAAAATAAAAACACAACAAATAAACAACAGAAAACCCAAACCACATTAAACAAGTGATCAGCCACAATTTTGCTACTGCTGATGCGTCCAATTAGAAGCCTGTACAAAAATGCAAACAAGCCTAGACTGAATGGCTGGCTCTGAACATCTACGTCAAAGCTCACTACAGATGGTACAGCGAAAGCAGAGGGAGCACAGATCTGAGTGAACTTCCAAAGAAAGGGCACAGCACAAAGAGCATCAATCACCACAGAATCACATTTATGCAAAGACCTAAGAAAGGTACAATGACATTCACAAAGGTTGATAATATCAGATCATGTACTTTCATTAGGAAATAAATTTGGTAAGCAGAAACTACATTCTTTAAAAAAACCCCTGTAATTTATATGCTATTAGACAGTGAACGCTGTTGTATAGCCTACTATACTGTGTAAACACATATGCATACATATATAAATGCTGAGACCATAGTTATATACAAATAAACCTAGATACACAAGCAATAAGTATACATACATTACAGATACAGATCCATACATAATATTACTCTATACTTCACATCGCTGGCATTTTAGAAACACTGGTATTCTATAAACAGGAACATTATGGACAGTTTCTTTAAAACTCTGTTATAAATACACTAGCAACAAATTATATCATTTTCTATAAAAGGCTTTTGTTCTCAAAATCATTAGGGTTTTATTCTGAAATGAAATCGCAATTTTATTTTTTTTAGACAGGGTCTTCAGATAGCCCCAGCTAGCTTCGATCTCACAAAGATCAGCCTGCTTCTGCCTCCTGAGTGTTGGGACTAAAAGAATGTGTCTCCATGCCTAGCTAAAATCCCACTTTTTAAAAAAGAAAAGTCTTTTTGAGATAGGGTCTCCCTGTAGCTCCAGCAGGCCTGGAATCACCACAAAGACCAGGCTGGCCTCTATCTCACAGAGCTCCTCCAGCCTATGCCTCCTGCTGGGACTAAAGGTGTGCGCTATGCCTGGTAAAATCACTTTTTAGCACAGTACTACAAATATGGGCACGTGCTTATTATTACAAATTATTTTGTGATTTTTTTTAATGCCTCATAATGTGTTAAAAAGAAATGAAGAACTAGGCATTCTCTATGAATTGTGTCATGTGCAATTAGATCTCATAAACTGTTCTCTTTTTCAGGTAACGCCAGGAGGATAATTGTACTTGGGAAACATGGTGATGGATAGGGAAATGATTTCTTGGTAAGATTTGTTGTCGAAGACCTCCCTTTACTCAGAAGACACACAGGATTGCACTTGTGTGAATTCTACGGTGCGCCTTCAGTGAGAAGTGCTGATGATGAGACCTCACTTATGGCATTCACAAGACTTTTCTCTGGCGTTGAGTTTGTTGATGGGATGTCAATACTGACTTCTGGAGGAAGGCTTTCCCACACTTGTGCATGGCAGAACACCTTCCTAGTGTGAGTCATCTTATGACTATGGAAGTTTGATCTAGCAGTGAAGGCCTTCCCACATTCGGTGCACACATAGGGTTTCTCTCCCGTGTGAATCCGTTCATGCTCTTGGAGTCGGAAGTTAGAGACGAAGGCTTTCCCACAGTGAGTGCATTTGTAAGGCTTCTCCCCCATGTGAAGTCTCTGGTGCTCGTGGAGCAGTGACTCGTCCTTGAAGGCTCTCCCACACTCTCGGCACACATGATGCTTTCCTTCAGTGTGGACTTTTAGATGTATATTGAGGTGTGCCTTTAGAGTGAAGGCTTTGCCACACTTTTGGCATTCGTAAGGCTTCTCACCTGTGTGAATGCGACAATGCACCTTTAGCTGGTATATTCTAGTGAACAATTTCCCACAGTCTTGGCACTTATACGGCTTCTCTCCAGTGTGAGTCCGCTGATGGAATGTCAAGTGTGACTTCTGGAGAAAGGCCTTCCCACATTTCTGACAGACAAAAGGTCTTGCTCCACTGTGAGTCATCTTATGTCTATGCAAACCTGACCTGCTACTGTAGGCCTTGCCACATTCAGTACACACAAAGGGTTTGTCTCCTGTGTGAATTCGCTCATGCTCTTGGAGTCGGGCCCTGAAGGCAAAGGCTTTTCCACAGTCACTGCATTTGTGAGGCTTCTCGCCAGTGTGAAGTCTCTGATGAATTCTAAGTACTGACTTCTGAGTAAAGGCCTTCCCACAGTCACTGCATTTGTGAGGCTTCTCACCAGGGTGAATTCTTTGGTGCTTGCCGAGTACAGACTCCTTCTGGACAGCTCTCCCACCCTGATGGCATACATGGTGTTTCACTGAGTGATGCTTTCTTTTAGTATGAACTTTCAGGTGTATTTTGAGGTGTCCCTTTAGGGTGAAGGCTTTTCCACAGGTGCTACATTCATAAGGCTTCTCACCTGTGTGAATTCGACAATGCATCTTCAGTTCAGATGGTCTACGGAACAATTTCCCACAAACTTGGCATCCATAAGGTTTCTCTCCAGAGTGGGATTGCCTATGGGCTATCAACTCTGACTTTCGGAGGAAGGCTTTCCCACATTTGTGACAGACAAAATGGCTTGCCCCACACTGAGTCATCTTATGTCTATGGAAATTTGACTTAGCAGCAAAGGCCTTCCCACATTCAGTGCACACATAGGGCTTCTCTCCGGTGTGAACCCGTTCATGCTCTCGTAGTGGGAACTTAGAGGCGAAGGCTTTCCCACAGTCGCTGCACTTGTAAGACTTCTCCCCTGTGTGAATTCTTCGCTGCCTGCTGAGCTCTGTCTCCTTCCTGAAGGCTCTCCCACTCTCATGGTATACACGGAGCCTCTCCACATCATGTTTTTCTTCAGTATGAACTTTCAGGTGCATATTGAGATGTGCCTTTTGGGTGAAGCTTCTTCCACAGTCGCTACATTTGTAAGGCCTCTCACCTGTGTGAATCCGATGATGCACCTTCAGCTGGGCTGTTGTACTGAAAAATTTCCCACATTCTTGGCACTCATAAGGCTTTTCGCCTGTGTGAATTCGACGATGCATTTTCAGTTCAGATGGTCTAGCGAACAACTTCCCACAGTCTTGGCACTGATAAGGCTTCTCTCCTACGTGAGTTCGCTGATGGGCTGTCAACTCTGACTTCTGGAGGAAGGCCTTCCCACATTTTCGACAGACAAAACGTCTTTCTGGAGCATGAGTTATCTTATGTTTCCGGAAAATTGACCTACCACGGAAGGCCTTTCCACATTCAGTGCACACATAGGGCTTCTCTCCTGTGTGAATCCGCTCATGTTCTTGGAGTTGGGCCTTAGAGGCTAAGGCTTTCCCACAGTGAGTACATTTGTAAGGCTTCTCCCCTGTGTGAATTCTCTGGTGTACCCTGAGTACTGACTTCTGCTGGAAAGCCTTGCCACATTCAAAACACACATAACGTCTCTCCCCCGAGTGAATCTGATGATGCACATTCAGTTTGGATTGATGGCTGAACAAATTCCCATGGATTTGGTATTCATAAGGTTTCTCTCCAGCATGAGTTTGCTTATGGGTTGTGAACTCTGACCTCTGGAGGAAGGCCTTTCCACATTTGGGACAGAAAAACTGTCTCTCCATATTATGGCTTATCTGGTGCTGATTGAAAACTGACCTGCAATTCAAGACTTTGCCAGATTCAGTATTTATATCTGGATTCTCCTGAGAGTGAATTTGATTCTGCATAAGTGGTTGCTCATGGCTGAGAACTTTGCACTGAATGTGTTTGCAAGATTTCTCTCCTCTGTGAGTAATGACACAGTTAGCATTAGAAAAGCCACTTGTAAAGAGCTCTCCAGGAGTAACATGGCCATTAAGCTGTTTTCTGACACTGCTTTGATTCCGACCATCTGCTTCTAGGTGAGGGTTCAAAGTTCCTGCTAATGATTCAGAGTTTGGAGGTCTGTTCTGTGTGGAAATGCGGTGAGGCCCCACAGGAACACGTTCCTCGGCCTCTTCACATTCACAATTCCTGTCTGTGCTCTGAGTTCTCTTGTTGATGAAATCACCGGGTCTCAGAGGTGGGATCTGGTTTTGCTGATCTCTCTCTGTAGGGCCAGCATCCTGCCACAGTCCCCAGATGGAACACAATGAACCACCTCTTGTGACTTCACTAGTCAAGACATCTTGAAAGGAAAGTTTCCCAGGAGCCTCCTGCTGTGGAGTGTCAAGCCTCAAATCACCTTCTGGGTAGAGAACAAGACGGAGAGAAAGGGACAATGAGCAGGAAATAGGAGGAGCCCCAGACAGCTACCGAGATGGAGCGATGCTGAGGACGGTGATGGGGAGCAGAGACATCCCCACAGCCCTTACGATGCACCTAACACGCAGCCACACAGTACTAAGCACGTGCCAAACATCTTTTGATGTAGTGGACTCAGGGACTCATTTAATTCTTCATAATCATCCCATACAACAACGACGCCCACTCTCCTCATTTTATTAGATGTGGAAATGCATAAAATGTTGACACAGTGGCCAACATCATCTTGCATTAGCGAAGTGGAGAAAGTGGGACATGTGAGGCTTGGGGCCTGACTGTCAGGTTGCCAGAGGTAGGACACTGAGACCTTCAGGGAGGGGACAGAAAAAGGAGGCAGGGTTAGGTCAGTAAACAGCCAAGGTGGTTGTTTTGAGACAGGGTCTCCCAGCTGGCCTGGAACTTGCTATGTAGACCAGGCTCACTGCAATTTATAGAGTGGGCCTGCTTCTGTCTTCCCAAGTGTTGGGATTAAAGATATGAACCAAGACAGGCTCAGAGGGCGGGTTCCAACCTCCATCTGTGTATTGTGGTCTCAGCAGAACGCCAGAGAGTGCCTGCTTCCAGCTTCCCTCTGGCATAAGGGCTAAGAACCCAGGGTGCCTGAAAGCACCCGGATCCTGCCTCCACATGGTGATAAGAGTTATGCAATTTGGAAGTCTTTTAGATAGACTGTTGGGAGCTATTAATCCATTATGTACATTGAGCTGTGGCAGGCTTGTTTACTGAGTTTGTGTTTTGCAAACCAGTACCTAATCTGCCAAGTCAATGGAGAGCCTCACAATACCTGACCTGGAGGCAATATTTGACCACTCCTTGACCCTCAGGTACAGGTGGGAAAAACAGCTGTTGAAATTAGTTGAGTTAAGACCTCTGATGTTCTTCTGTATAAAAAGGCAGAGCTAAAATAAACTGGGGCTGCAGGCTCTACTGACAGTCCTCCCAAGTATCTTTTTCTCTGTCTCTTGTTTTTCCTTTCAGTCCTCACTCCCCCTTTTAGGTACTGAAAGGCTGGCACCGGCAATAGACCCACTGAAGGGTGCCCCAATTGTCTCACTCTGCATCCCTATTCAGCATGGAAGAAAGCCAGAGTGGTCTGCGTCCCTATTCCCTATTGGCAATTTGGGTAACCTCTTCAGAGGATGGCGTGATAAGAATAGGAGGTAGGAATTGGCTAGGCTGTTAGGGTAAAAAGACCTCAAAGAAAAGTAGCCAGTTTCTTGGCTAAAAGTCAAACTGTCCTTGAGCATCTTAGCAACATACTCCGTTCCAAACGCCAAAAATGTCAAAAGTATTTGGGAGCTCTTATCTAATCCTTAAAAGATTTTAGGGTTACCTCTTCAGAGGGGGGAATGTTAAAGCAGCAAAAAGCCCGATTTAAAAAAAAGAAGAAAAAGAAAGAGAACATGAAGTTATCAGGAAAAAGTGATGGGGAGATATGGGAGAGGTTGGAGGGGAGGGGGTGGGCATGGATTTGATCAAAGCACCTTATATCCCTATATGAAATTCTCAATAAATTATTAAAAAAAAATTCTCAATAAATTATTTAAAAAAAAAAGAAGAGAAAAAAAGACATGAACCATCGCACACATACAGCCAAGGTTTGAAGTAGGGATGAGAACTCTGGAATTTAACAGTCGTGAAGAAATAAATTTTTTTTTTTTTTTTGGTCTTTTTTAAGACAGTCTCCCTGTAGCCCCAGCAGACCTTGAACTCAGAGATCCACCTGCCTCTGCCTCCTGAGTGCTAGGATCAAAGGCATGCGCCACCACGCCCGACGAGAAATACATTTTTTTATTGGTTAAGTTTTCTGCTGTCTTTTTTTCCCACTAATAACTGAAAGTCCAAACTGGCTCCTAGTCCACATTTATAACAAAGTGTTGCAACACTTTTTTTGTAGGAACTTGGGAGTGGGAGGCCACCAAGCTGAGTGCCATAGAGGGACAAATACTTAGGTAGACTGAAATGCTCCCTTAGTACTGGCCACCTCCACCAGGGGAATCGTCACTCACCTCCACACCTCTGGCTTGGAAAGTCAGCCTCCTCCTGTAGTGCCTCCTTTGCTTTCTTCATCCCGAAGAAGGCCTCAGGCCTCGGAGTAGCATACCCTGTGAATTGGAAGGGTACTGGATTTGTGTGTACTTTTAAAGGCCATCAAGGGAAGTTTTGCATTGGCTCATCAGAAAAATATCATTCTCTGCTGGGTACAAAATAATACTTGGAGAACCCAAAAAGAAGAACTCGCCATGACAAGTTAAGTAAAAAGAAAACAGCAAGAAAAAAAGAGCCCAGGACACCACACACATGCACACGCGCACGCACACACACACTCACGCACGCATGCACACGCACAGAATAAACAAATGAACAAAAACCCCACATTTCTGCTATCCCACCATGATCTCCCAACAGAAGTGATTCTCAACAAGGCCCACCCATGAGGCCAGCTGCACTCACCCACTGACACGAGGTGGCTGTAGATCTCCAGCATCACGTCCTGGTACAGGCGTCTCTGGGCGGGGTCCAGGTGCTGCCACTCCTCCCGGCTGAAGTCCACAGTCACGTCCTCAAACGACACCAACCTCTGTAACAACATATATTCAGTGTGTATTACTCACAGCAGCAAATGAGCACCATGCCAACTGGGACGTGTGAATGAGTTTTCACCACGATGAATCATGAGGGTTCTCACAAAAACCACTTTACATTCCATTTTGGCAGATAATGTTCATTAAAAAAGAAATCCTGTCTTTCTTTGTACACTCAAATTGCTCTTTTTTTTTTTAATTGCAGAAGGAAGCTAGAAACAGATCCTAATACCATAAATTTGTTTAAGATCTTCTTTATAAGTGTGATTAGTGCCTGAGCTATTGCTCTAGCCCTTAATACTTTAATTTCTGTATTACATTTTATTTAATTAATTAATTTTGTGCATGTGCCACATAACTGAGGAGCCATCTCTACAGCCCAGAAGTGAGACATTTAAGGAGAGACAAGCACCACGTGCCAGAAAAACATGGGTGCAAAGCTGGAGAGGCAGGAAGGTCCAGGACGAGGTCACCAAGCAGCCGATCACCCTCTTTAAGAGACTGTGAAGGTGGATGGCATCGAATTCCAAGCAGGGGCACTGGGGACAGCTCATGGAAAAACGTAGGGGTGTTTAAACTGCATCCGACTGCACCAGGGTCTTGACTGCACGGAAGGAACGGCCACAGTCTCCTCCCCACGCGCCCTTCCTGCTGGATCCAGTTGGAGGCTGAGGCCGAGGGGGTGGTGGAAAGAGCTGCACCAGAGGGACCTGGGTGACGACAGCGGACTGAAGGAAGTCGGCAGCACCCATGGCTGCTAAACAGTGGGACAGCCTGGGCTCCTGAGAGAACCGGGCCGACAACGCCTGAACCCAAGGATGAACTTCAGGACCACCAAGAAAGATGACGGACAAGATGAGCACCCGAGAGGCTGCGGCAGCCGCACACACCGTGCCACACACTCCGTGATCTTGCAAAGAAGAAGACGAGGTGAGTGGAACATGACGGAGGCTCCGACACAGGTCAAGGGACATACAGGGGAGCACAGAGGGCTCGGGAGACTTCCAGCAGCCGGCTCAGAAGGAAGGGGATGGATTCCCTAGTGCATTCTGTTTAGGTCTATAGAAGTAAGTTAATCTTTAAAATACTAAGGTTTCCAAAGTCAGTGTACTTATAGTTCTAGAACATCTCAACACCAAGTGCCCACATTTCAAGTGCTAAGTAGCTAAGAGGCAGGAGAGAAAGGCAGGGAACCTGGGGGACCTGAGCGGGAAAGCAGCTCCTGGGCCCTGCGTCCAGTTTTAGTCTTTCACTAGCAAAGGAGCAAGAATTCTGACACAGCTGAACAAGCTGCCTTAAAAAAGACTCCACTGCCTCTACCGAAAAGAAAAGGAAAAACAACAACAAAAAGACCATCAAATCAACAACAAACTACTCACAAAAAAAGGTTATGAACCACGTATGCAATCAAGCATGTCTTACTCCTCTGTCTTTCTGACCTAGGCACAGTTAAGAATTCTCAGAAAATCTTACAAGTTTTTGACCAATGAATACAGACAAGATATGTCTTGAACTACTTGTGATCTTTGTATTGCACAGAATCCCTTGATTGGAACATCCAGTGTGGCACATGCACTCGAATTACCCACATTTATTGTACACCCCAAAATGAGATGCAATAATTAATTTTGTTCCTTTGTTTTTTGGAGACAGGGTCTCCCTGTAACCTCAGCTGACATGGAACTCGCTATGTACACCAGGATGGCTTTGATGGCACAGAGATTCATCTGTCTCTGCCTCCTGGGATTAAAGGCATACACCACTACACCCAGGTAATAATATTTTTAAAATTAAAAAACTGGATTAAATTAGCTGGGTGTGGTGGTGCTCGTCATTAATCCCAGCACTTGGGAGGCAGAGGCAGGCGGATCTGTGTGAGTTCAAGGCCAGCCTGGTCTATATAGTGAGTTTGAGGCCAGCTTAAGCATTACTGCCGCTGCTGGTGGCTACTGGTGGCTACTGGTGACTTCACTTTGTGAAAAACATTTATACTCTTAGAGAAAATGGCAAGACAAGGGTAACCAAGAAAAACATTCATATTTGTGCATGAGAACACATCCAAACAGGTACACAGTCACGAAAATCAACTGGAAGGTGGATCTGACCAGAACGGGACCCGTGTCGTGGAGGGTGGACATGGAGAGCACGCTTTTGAGCACTGGGGGTGGGAAGATGTGGACCAGGGTCACAGCTAAGAGAACAAGAGACAGGAAAAGAACCCTGTCATTAAAGACTGGAAATGGGGGTGGTGGTATAGGCCGTTCACACTAATCCTTTACTGCAGAGCCGACGGCAGGAACAGCAGTTTGAGGACAGCCTGACCCACACAAGCTCCAGGTAGCCTCAGGGACACGAACCTCGTGTCTGAACAAAACAACGATAAAACAAACATTCTGAGGTTTGGGGACTGGATACTGTGTAGTCCACTCTTACCTGGGGAACCAAGACCATCTCAGGATTAGCGACCCCTGGAGTTGCTTCCTGTTTCTACCCTCAAGACCTGGAGCACCAAACGCAGAGCAGCCCTGTTTACCTTCCATGGTGGACTCTGCACTTCTGGTCCTGGGACCTGGGCCTTCTGGGATGGACTCACTCCTGCAGGCATGGCTCCTGTGGATGTTTGCTCTTGGTCCTTCTTGGTAGCACATCCAGTGTTCCCAGCAGCCACACCTGGGTTGGGGGGTGGAGGCTCCAGGCAGTTTCTGATCTGCACAAGCTGGTTGTGGCATAAGAGGAAATCCAGCAGCCTGAATTAGCAGTCCAGACTCCAGAGTCTGCAGAGACACAGGAAAGACAATGAATTTTTTTTTGGTCTTTTTGAGACAGGGTCTCCCTATAGCCCCAGGTAGCCTGAAACTTACTATGTAGACCAGGGTGGCCTTGAACTCACAGAGATCCACTTGCCTCTGCCTCCCAAGTGCTGGGATTAAAGGTGAGTGCCACCATGCCCAGCTACAGTGGATTTTCTTATACTTTTTATATGTATGTGCATAGGCATCTGTGTGGAGGCTGTGCTGACATCCGGAGTCTTCCCTGATTGCTCTCTGTCCTCCTCAATGAGGCAGCATCTCTCAGTTGAACCCAGAACTTGCTCACACAGTTTGTCTAACTAGAAATCTGAGTCAGGGCTCTCTTATCTCCCGTCTCTGCCTTCAGAGCATTAGAATGACAAGTGGGTTGCTATGTCTACCCAGCACTGATGTGGGTTCTGGGGACCTCTACTTGAGACATGCCTGCTGCTTGGGTAGCAAGCATGGTTTTAACCACGGCACCACCTACCGAGGTCCAGGCAGCGAAGTGCAGAGTACATGATAAAGGCCTCTGTGTAAACAGCCCAGAGCAGAACACTCAGAGCAGTCTTAATTCTGTTGTTCATCAGGGTTACACTGATTATGCTGGGGACCAAGAGTAAATAGCAAACACGGTCTCAACTATATAATCCTCTGTAGTTGGGAACTCACTGTTTAGACCAGCCTGATCTTGAACTCATCAAGACTGGCCTGCTTCTGCCTCTCAAGTGCTGGGGGTGAAAGGCTTGTGCCCCAATCCGTGGCCCATAACTGGCTTTGGCAGGAAGTCACCTGCATTTGATTTTCTATAAAATTACCTTGATACCAAAGGCACAGGTTATCTCCCAGTGGCCACCTGCCTGATGTCCTGTGTGCTGAATAAAACAAGTCATTTGCTGGTGGATACGCAAACCTTATTTTTGAGATGTCTCCCTATGTAGCCTTGGCTGGCCTCGAACTCCCAGAGCTGTCTCTTCCTGTCTTTAATTAAATGTGAGCTACACCATGACAGCCTCCACAAATCTTTAATCCCAACTCCTCTCCAACCTCCGTTTCTGGACCCTGGACTCGGCCCCCACAGCCACACAGCCTATTCTTAACACATTGCTTAAACCTACGAACTCAACTTTCTTCATAACCTAGGAAACCTGTACACGTTCACCTGGACCTCCATTCTGAACACTTTTTGACTGTCCATAATGAGTTTCCTGTTACATCTGAATGGGGTCTTTGGCCTCCATGATTTTCAGTAACTTCCAGAGAGTGGGTGTTGCCTGCATGCTTAGAAACCGTCTTCCAGTCACTGACATGACCCAGCTTCTGAGATTACTGCTTTGAAGCTAAAAACGCTCCCAGGAAAACCCCACTACCCCTACAAAGGGGTTCAGGTAACATGCCCCAAACGGAGTCCCCATCATCTCTAGCCAACAGCCATCACTGATCTTTACCATCTCCTCAGGGACCCTAGGAGAGGACACCACCGACCCATCCATCTTCAAAGGACCCAATCCTCAGACAACGATCTCCGGAATTAGGATTTCTTTTCTACAGCGATCACCTGTAGCTCTGGTTTCCTCCAGGAAATACCTTTTCAGAATGGTCACGGCCTGCGCCCAGGAGCCCTGGCCTGGGACCAGCACAAAGACCCTGGTGACCTGAGCCCAGACCTAAAGGTTCAGAGCCTCTCTCCAGCACTACCATCCGCTGCAAACGTTTACACGGGGAAGGCGGGGGCAGATGGAGATGGCTCTGCGTCCTCGGCTTGGGACCCAACCAAGCCCCCCGCCCCCCAGGCCTGCGGGCTCCATCCTCAGCTGTCCTGACTCCTCCATCCCCACCCACCCTCCAAGTCCTCCACCTGCAGCACCCACGGGGAGTCCTCCCAGGGTCCCCGGTGCTGTCCTCGGTGCTCGGAGGACCAAGTCCACAGAGGACCACGCAGCAGCCCACATCCCATCTGGACCCGAGTCCTCCCTGCACCCGGAGTCAGCCCATAACTTTGCACAAACCCCCAGCACCTCACTTGCGCCTCCACGCCTCTGCGCGGGCTCCCTGGGACTTCCGCTAACCTAGGTCGAGAATTCCGGATGGAAATGTCCCAATCACTCCAGGAGCTGACCGGAAACAATCTCTAGAATGGCTTGACCGTCTCAGATCTCAAGACCCTCCCGCCGACCACTTCCGGCCTCATCGCCAGCCTCTCCCAATTGGTAGACGCTCTGGGCATGCTCACTAACACTTCTGACGCGTCTGCCCACAGTCATCATGGCGGCCGTGTAGGGCGTCCCTGTTCGCTCTGAAACTGTCGTGGCTGCTCCCGTGAGGTGGCCGTCAGAGACCCTTCCTTCCGTACAGCGGGGGAAGGTGCTTGGAATGTGTGAGTGCTTTTATCGAGTCCTGAGTACTTTTCTGAAGTCCGGAGTGGTTTCTTTTTAGTCCTGTTTTTTGTTTTGTGATTGTTTGGTAGGGCTTTTGTTGTTTTTTTGAGTCAGGGTCTTCCTGTAGCCCAAGCTATCCTGGAGCTTGCTATGTAGACCAGGCTGGCCTCCTTCTCACAGACATCCTCTGGCTTGCAGCACTTGGCTAAGTCTGGAGTTTTTGAGAATTTTTGTGCCTGTGTTCATCAGAGAGATTGACATCACTTTCTTTTTTGTTGAATCTTAGCTGGTTTTGGCTTCGTGCAAAGCATTTGGAAGTGTGTCTTCCTTTTTTATCTTAAGGAATAATTTGAGGCGCATTCACGTTCTCGGAAGGTCTGGTAGAAATCAACGCTGTATATCCATCTGGTCCTGGACTTTTTTTAGTTGGGAAGATTTAAGGAAAGTTTTGTAATGTGTATGAGTGTTCTGCCTACATGTATGTGAGGAAGCCAAAAAACGGTGATGGATCTTCTGGAACTGAAGTTACAGATGGCCATGTGGATACTGGGAACTGAACCAGGTCCTCTGCAAGAATAGCTAGTGCTGTTAATCACCGAGCCATCTCTCCAGCCCCATAATTGTGAGATTCAAAATTTACTGCTTCTGGGGCTGGAGAGATGGCTCAGCAGTTAAGAACACTGACTGTTCTTGCAGAAGACCCAGGTTCGAATCCCAGCACCCACATGGCAGCTAACAACTGTCTGTAACTCCAGTTCCGGGGGATCTGACAGCCTCTTCTGTCCTCCTTGGGCATTGCAGGACACGGTGCACTTAACCTACATACAGGCATAACACTCATACACATAAAATAAAAATAATAAAACATTTTTTAAAATTACTGCTTCTTGGGGGCTGGAGAGATGGCTCAGTGGTTAAGAGCACTGACTGCTCTTGCAGAGAGCTGAATCAGACCCAGGTTCAATTCCAAGCACCCACGTGGCGGCTATGAACCCTTCTTAACTCCAGTTCCAGGGGAATCTGAAGCCCTCTTCTGACCTCCGCCACATTGCACGACACGGGTGAACTCACATACATGCAGGCAATACATTCATACACATAAAAAGAATAAATAAAAATTTAAAAAATTACGCTTCTTACAAAAGAATTACTGCTGGGCATGGTGGCGCATGCCTTTAATCCCAGCACTTGGGAGGCAGAGGCAGGTGGATCTCTGTGCGTTCAAGGTGAGCCTGGTTTGCATAGTGAGTTCCAGGACAGCTGGGGATACAGGGAGACCCTGTCTCAAAAAGACCAAAAAAAAAAAAAAAAAATACTGCTTCTTTCTCATTGGTTAAATCTTTTTAAGTCATTTAACTCATCTGGGTTTAATTTTGGTAGGTCATGCATATCTAGAAATTCATCTATTTTAGATTTTCCAATTTTCTGAAATATAAGTTTTTGACGTTTTCTTATGATACTCTGAATTTTCTCAGTATATATTGTAATGTTTCTCTTTTCATCTCTGGAAAGGACTTTCAATGGATTAACAATTCCCATGTTAGTTCATGCCTAGCCCATAGGAACCCTTGTTGGTCCAGTGACACAGGATCCTACTAAAGTTTGTGCAGTTGTTTCCTATTAAGTTCTAAAGGTTTAACACATTGAGTGGTTTACTTCACACTGGTGGAATGATGCGTAATTACGTTGTACATTTGCAGATGCAAAAAACAAGGACGGGAAGGTAAGATCCTTTGCTCAGTGGGGATGCAGAGAGTGGAACAAGGGGTCAGACACAGGAACGTGGCTCATGGGGGTGTCCTCTTAAAACCTGTTTTGCTCTGTTTTGGGAATTATTTATAACATGATTTAGAACAAAGAAAACTAGTGAGTCAAAGAATGAATAATCAAAACTGAGAATGGCTGAATAAGTTATGGCCTGCCAATTGTACTGAACATGGTATAGTCATTAAAGACATACTTTAGAAATAAAATACCACTATGTACACAGAAGTAGTCAGGTTATCATAAAACAAAGGAAAGGTACCTAGATGCCTGGATATGTATATGGTTAAGAGCACAGTACCCAGTGTGTGTCACGGGCTGGCACACCTCCTCAGCAAAGAGCCAGGCAGTAGTACATTTCCAGTGTGGGGGCCATACAGTCCCTGCCAGATGTACTCAATGCCGCTAGTATGGCATGAAAGCCATTTGTGCAAATAAACAAGGCTGTGTTAAGAAACGAACCAATGACAGAAAACCCAAACCATTTTAAACAAACGACTGGCTGGCCATACTCTTCCTACTGATGGTAGTCTGATTAGAAGCCTACACAAAAATATGAGCAAGTCCAGACTCGGTGGTTGGCGCTGAGTATCTGTGGTGAAGCTCACAGATACAGGTGGAAAGCAAAGGGAACACACATGTGAGCTTACTGCCACAAAAAAAGAAAAGGAAGAAAAGAAGACATTAAATGTTGCAGAATCCCATTTATGCAGACCTAAAAAACAGTACATTCATATAATGACATTCGCAATTATTGATGATGCAAGATCACATAATATCATTGGTAAATCTGATAAACAAAGCTACGTTCTTTAAAAAATATTTTATTATTTTTGTTTTATGTGTATGAGTGCATTACCTGCATGTATGTAAATGTACCTGAATTGTGCAATGCCTGAGGTCAGAAGAGGGCGTTGGATCTGAGGGTGCTGGATCCCCTGGAACTGGAGTTATGGACAGTTTTTAGCCATTGTGTGGGTGCTAGGAGTTGAACTCAGGTCTTATGAAAGAGCAGCCAGTGTTCTTAACCACTGAGCCATCTCTCTAGCCCACAAAACTACATTCTTTTAAAAATCAATTACAATCTACATATTAGACAATAAACTCTGTTGTAAACCCTACTCAGCTGAGTAAATACATATACATACACAAGTGCATACATATGTAAATGCTGATGAGACAATGTCTACATATATATTTATATTCAACTCCAAATACATAAGCAGTAAGTACACATATATTACAGACACATGTCCACACATATTACTATCCTATAGTTTACTTTGCCTGCATTTTAAAAACACTCATGTTCCACAATAAACAGGAATACCATGGACATAATTTCTTAAGAGCTTTCTTATAAATATACTAGTAAAAATTTTGTTATAGCATTTTCCATAAAAGATTTTTTTTCTCAAGTCATTAGGGTTTCATCCTGAAATGAAATCACAATTTTTTGACATGCCACTAACAAATCTGGACACTTGTGCCCATTATTACAAGTTATTTTGTAATTTTTCTAATGTCTAATAGGTGTTTAAAAAAACAAATGGAAGCCGGGTGTGGTGGCACACGCCTTTAGTCCCAGCACTTGGGAGGCAGGAGCAGGTGGGGATCTTGCTGGTGCCAGCCGGCCAAGACAGACAGTACCCGAAAGGAGGAGTGAGGATTGAAAGAAAAAACAAGAGACAGAAAAGATGCTTGGGAGGGCTGTCAGTAGAGACTGCAGCCCTGGTTTATTTCAGCTCTGCCTTTTTATACAGAAGAACTCAATTAGTTTCAACAGCTGTTTTTCCCCACCCTTATCTGAGCGTCAAGGAGTGGTCAAATACTTCAAAGGCTTCTTTGATCTTTTTGTCTACCACTGTTGCCTCCAGGTCAGATATTGTGAGGCTCTCCATATAAACACATTCCTCCTGATTTGGCAGAATAGGTACTGGTGTGCAGAACATAAACTCAGTAAACAAGCCTGCCACAGCTCAATGTACATAATAGACAAACAGCTCCCAACAAAGATTGTAAGAGCAGAGGATGGGGCGGAGTTTCTCTGAATTGGCTGATTTATATATATATGTGAAAAACAAAAAATCAAATGGAGAGCTAGATGTGTTCTCTATTATGAATTTCACCATGAACAATTATGTCTCTTTTAAAATGCTCTCTTCTTCAAGTAATTCTAGGAGTATATTGGGAATATGCTGATGAGCTGGGAATTGATTTCGTGGTAAGACCTGTTGTATAAGAGCTCTCCTTGTGTGAACTGCATGAGTCTCACTGAAGAGCGAGAATGTGGGACAGTGATTGCTCACTCATGGCGTCCCTTCGGCTTCGCTCCAGTGTGACTTCGCTGATGGGCTGTCAACTCTGACTTCTGGAGGAAGGCCCTCCCACATTTGTGACAGACAAAATGATTTGCCCTAGTGTGAGTTATTTTATGTCTGTGGAAACTAGACCTAGCACTGAAGGCCTTCCCACATTCAGTGCACATGTAGGGTTTCTCTCCGGTGTGAATCCGCTCGTGCTCTTGGAGGTGTAGCTTAGAGGGTAAGTCCTTCCCGCAGTGACTGCATTTGTAAGGCTTCTTCCTTGTGTGAACTCTTTGGTGCCTGCTGAGCTCCAATTCCTCCTTGAAGGCATTCCCACATTCACAGCACACATGGTGTTTTTCTTCAGTATGAACTTTCAGGTGTATATTGAGGTGCGCCTTTTGGGTAAATGCTTTTCCACAGTCGTCACATTCATAAGGCTTCTCACCTGTGTGAATTCGCTGATGCACCTTCAGTTGGGATGTCCTACTGAACAATTTCCCACAGTCTTGGCATTCATACGGCTTCTCTCCAGTGTGAGTTCGCAGATGGACTGTCAACTCTGACTTCTGAAGGAAGGCCTTCCCACATTTGTGACAGACAAAAGGTCCTGCCCTAGTGTGAGTAATCTTATGTCTCCGGAAAATTGACCTGCCTCTGAAGGCCTTCCCACATTCAATGCACACATAGGGCTTCTCTCCCGTGTGAATCCGCTCATGCTCTTGGAGTTGGAGCTTAGAGGCTAAGTCTTTCCCACAGTGAGTACATTTGTAAGGGTTCTCCCCTGTGTGAATTCTCTGGTGTGTGTGGAGCAGTGACTCCTCCTTGAAGGCTCTCCCACACTCTCGGCACACGTGGTGTTTTCCTTCAGTATGAATTTTCTGGTGTATATTGAGGTGTGCCTTTTGGGTGAAGGCTTTTCCACAGTCACTACATTCATAAGGCTTCTCACCTGTGTGAATTCGAAGATGCACCTTCAGTTGAGATGCTCTATTGAACAGTTTTCCACAGTCTTGGCATTCATAAGACTTCTCTCCAGTGTGAGTTCGCCAATGCGATGTCAACTCTGACGTCCGAGAGAAGCCTTTCCCACATTTGTGGCTGACAAACGGTCCTGCCCTAGTGTGAGTTACCTTATGTTTACGGAAAATTGACCTACCTCTGAAGGCCTTTCCACATTCCGTACACACATAGGGCTTCTCTCCTGTGTGAATCCGCTCATGCTCTTGGAGTTGGAGCTTAGAGGCTAAGGCTTTCCCACAGTCACTGCATTTGTAAGGCTTCTCCCCTGTGTGAATTCTTTGATGTGTTCTTAGCACCGACTCCTTCCTGAAGGCATTCCCACACTCATGGCACACATGGTATTTTCCTTCAATATGAACTTTTAGGTGTACATTGAGGTGTGCCTTTAGGGTGAAGGCTTTGCCACAGTCACTACATTCATAAGGCTTCTCACCTGTATGAATTCGACGATGCACCTTCAGTTGAGATGCTCTATTGAACAGTTTTCCACAGTCTTGGCACTGATAAGGCTTCTCTCCAATGTGAGTTCGCCGATGGGATAACAACTCTGATTTGAGGAGGAAGGCCTTCCCACATTTTCGACAGAGAAAATGTCTTTCTGGAGCATGTGTTATTTTATGTTTACGGAAGGTTGACCTACCTCTGAAGGCCTTCCCACATTCCGTGCACACATAGGGCTTCTCTCCTGTGTGAATCCGCTCATGCTCTTGGAGTTGGGCCTTAGAGGCTAAGGCTTTCCCACAGTTAATACATTTGTAAGGCTTTTCTCCTGTGTGACTTCTCTGGTGCGCCCTGAGTACTGACTTCTGCTGGAAGGTCTTTCCACATTCAGAACACATGTAAGGCCTCTTCCCCAAGTGAATTTGGTGATGCACCTTAAGTTGGGATGGATGACTGAACACATTCCCGCAGTCTTTGCATTCATAAGATTTCTTTCCAGTCTGAGTTTGCTGATGGGTTTTTGACTCTGACTTCTGGAGGAAGGCCTTCCCACGTTTGGGACTCACGGAAGGCCTCTTCACAGTGTGGCTCATCTGATGCTGACTGAAATCATTCCCCAATTCAGTACTGTCATTTGGCTTTTCCTGAGAATGAGTTTCATGCCACATAAGTGGTTGTTTATGGCTGAGAACTTTTCTGAACTGACTATGTTTGCAGGATCTCTCTCCTCTGTGTGTAATGGAACAGTTAGCATCAAAAGAGCCAGGTGTAAAGAGCGGACCAGTTTTAAGCTGGCCATTCAGCTGTTTTCTGACACTGCTTTGATTCTGACCATTTGCTTCTAGTTTAGAGTTCAAACTTTTCGCTCCAGAGTTTGGAGGTCTATTTTGTGTAGAAATGAGGCTCCAAAGGAATGGCCCCCCACTCTCTTCACAGTCACAACTACCATCTGTGTCCAGAGTTTTCTTGTTGATGAAACCAGGTCTCATGGGTCGGATCTGGTTTTGCGCATCTCTCTTTGTAGGACCAGCACCTTTCCACAGTTCTAAAATGGAACACTCACCACTTATGGCTCCACTCACCATATAATCTTGAAAGGAACGTTTCTCAGGAACTTGCTGTGGTGATCTATCAAGTTCCAAAGCCCCTTCTGGAAGAGAAAGATGAAAGAATAAAGATAATGAACAGAATGGAAGGGGACTCACATACAGCCAACTGAGACGAAGTAGAATCATTGCCAGAGTCTGGATGATATGTTAAACATGCTTCTCTACAGCATATGCCAGGCAACTTTCTTTGCAGAGGAAACAGAAACTTGTTTAATCATCGCTCCTATCCCATAAGGCATTACTCACCCCATTTTATAGTTGAAGAAAACATAGTATCATTAAGAAGAAGAAACACTCCTAGCCTTGTAGCCCCGAGACCTTGGCTTTGTGCTGAAGACCATGAGGTGCCCTTTAAATACAACTTTGACTGCAAGATTATTTTGCCAATTTGTGGGTACAATTTGTTTTTGGGCAAAGGCAAGATATTTCTGATTTTGAAGGTAACCTTAGACACCCTCATCTAGTAACATGACCACTGAGGATAAAGGCAAAACTGTTCATAGGATGATGTCAGTGTAGACAACCAGGGCTTGAAGGAGAGTTCAGAGCATACGATTTCATTAGCTGAGGAGAAATGCACATTATGTTCCTTTTACCATTTTTAATCAGCCGAAGTTTTTTTGGTTTTAAAAATGTATATTTTTATTGAGTTTTTGTGCATTTCATACATCTTAACCCTATGTAGACCCTCTCCCTATCTGCCTCCCTATAGCTTATCCACTGGATTTCATACGTTCTGTCATATATGTTAAGGCCTATCGAGCCAAGTTTGTGTCCCCAGATGTCCCTCGGGACCAGTATGAGTTCATGGAGCCTGTTCAGCCTATCTAACATCACTCCCTTAAAGAAGACCAACTCTCCATCACCCAGCATTGATTAGCTGTTAATGGTTCAGCACAGACCTGGGGAAATGAGGAGGCTCTAACCTTAGCCGAGCAACTATTGGCAGTGAGTGGTTTCTTTTGTTTTGTTTTGTTTTTAATATTTATTTTATGTGCATGTGTGCATTGCCTGCATGTGTGTAGGTGCCCCTGTGTTGTGTAGTGCGCACGGAGGTCAGAAGAGGTTGTTTAATCCTCTGGAACTGGAGTTAAGGACGATTTTTCAGCTTCTGTGTGGGTGATGGGAACTGAACCCAGGTCCTCTGCAAGAGCAGCCAGTGCTCCTAACTGCTGAGCCAGCTCTCCAGTCCCTTGTTTTAATGTTGGAGATAGTCATTAACCAAGCCAGGACAGCATGTGTCTACCCTGATTCTTCAGTCTTAAAATACCAATTTTATACATGCACTAGATTTCTTTTTTCTTTTTTAAAAATTAGCTTATGTAATCTATAAAAAATTTTTACCATAGCCAAGCGTGGTGGTGCACGCCTTTAGTCCCAGCACTTGGGAAGCAGAGGCAGGTGGATCTCTTTGAGTTTGAGACCAGCCTGGTCTACATAGTGAGTTCCAGGACAGCTGGTGCTACTGGGAGACCCTGTCTCAAAAAGACAGAAAAAAAATTTTTTTTTTACTTGGGTGTGGTGGTGCATGCCTTCAATTCCAGCACATTGATTAACATCGAGGTAACAAAAATAACAGGGGAGAAGACAAGCCAGGTAACAGACCACACAACAGAGGGCACCCACACAGAAGGCGTTAATGAGAACATGGTAGCAATGAGCCAAAGTGCGAAGAGGCAAATTATACCATTATATTGTGATACTGGAAATAGGAAATCATGATGAAAACTTCACTGATGTATGTAAATCCTACATAACAGAAAATAACTGCATGTTTGCATTAAAATGTATTTTTAAAAACAAGCATAATAGAAACGCATTGTCTAGTAAACGTCAGGAGTATCTTGACTGATGTCACATACAAGGGGAGGGAATCACAATCTCATTTGTAATAAAATCACCAATTTTAGGGAACTGGTGGGAGTAAGAACAACTCATGTAACTTGTGTGTTCTAAAAGAAAAATGGAAGCTAGGCGTGGTGGCGTATGCCTGTCGTCCCAGAACTTGGGAGCCTGAGGCTCAAGGCCAGCCTGGGCTACATGAGGCCTTGTCATAAAGGAAGAAAGGAAGGAGGGGGAGGAGGAGGAGGAAGAGAGGAGAGGAGGGGGAGGTAGAGGAGGAGAGGGAGAAGGAGGAGAGAACAGTACAAACTCTGAAGTCATAAATTAGAGGACCAAGAACAAAGACCTCAGAATCCCAGAAGTGCCTGGTAAAACGTGTCAGATGAAAAGGCGTTCTGATTTTGATCAGGATGATCCCAATTTCCGATCTCCCAAAAGTAAGCATGGGGGCCGTGTCATGGGCCCTGTCCTCCAAGGTGCTGAGCAAGGCGGCAGATGCAGTTTAGGCACCAAGGACTGGTGGTAACGAATGGGAATCACAACACCAGTACAAGGACTGAGTGCTCAGAGCGAACAGGCCCCATGGCATCTCCCATGTGAAAACACCACCACAGGAATGTAGAGTGTGCCGCGCCTGGGATGTCCTGATGAGCAGGAAGACAGAAGAGGGCTGGTGAGGTGGGTCACAGAGTAGGGGATTGCTGCCAAGCTTTTAGATCTGAGTTTGATTCCAGGGTCCCATATGGTAGGAGGGAAGAACCAATACCCATAAGTTGTCCTCTGACCTCCACATGCATGTGGCAAATGCACAACTACACACACGCGTGTACACACACACACACACCACACAAATACCACACACACACCAAACACACACAAATCACACACACACCAAACACACATGCACACGCACACGCACACACACACAAACAAATGTAATTAAAAATGGAAAGAAAAAAGGAGAATATTCTGCATAGAAAGGAAAATGAATGACTTCAGGGACAGAGGAAAGAAAAACCCAGAAAACCTCGTGGTCACGAAACAAAACAAAGAAAGATACACATGGAAAACCCATCCAGATAAGATACTGTGAGGTGCTCTACTTAGTTATTACAACAATAAAATCAGAACTTGGAAAGAGCTCTTTCATGTATCACATGGGCAATCTATTAATCAAGTTGGTTCATAGCAAATGTTGACCGATAAGATGTGCAAATACAGACTTTTGTGCCTGCGTCTATGGGCGGTTATGCAGCTTAGGAATGCTCATCTGCCTAGCATTCACCTTTGAGAAGTCTTATCCTGGCCCCTGTTCTTTGTTTATAACATAATTTATTGCAGCATTGTTCATAGAAACCAGGAGTAGGTTGAAACCCAGGTGCCAACCACTAAGGGAACAGACAAGTAAGGTAGGCTGATAGTGGCCCCTAGGTGCTATCCACCTGCACCCCGGCAGCAGTCGTTCACCTTGACAGCTCTGACGCAGGGGTTCAGCCATCCACACCTGTGTCTCATTTTCTTTCTTCATCCTGAAGAGGCCCTCCGGGCTGGGAATGGGGTATCCTGTGAATTGGAAAGATATTGCATTTGTGTTTTGCACCTTGGGCTCCAGAGGTCATGCTGTGAGGCTTTGCAATGGCTTGTCAATATTTTCTACTGAGCACATAAGGACACCTGAGGTAGGGGTGTGTGAACTCTCAGGACAAACCTCAAAGACCATAAATTATTCCTGATAACAAGGCCCCTCCTCCGTCCCCAGCCAGCTGCGCTCACCCACTGACATGAGGTGGCTGTAGATCTCCAGCATCACGTCCTGGTACAGGCGTCTCTGGGCGGGGTCCAGGTGCTGCCACTCCTCCTGGGTGAACGCCACAGTCACATCTTCGATGGACAACAATTTCTGCAATAACATATTCACTATGAATTCCTTGCCACCAGCAGGTTGGAAAGTTACATGTGGAGAATTGGTTTCAGTAAGTTTTCACTGTGATGTCATTAGGCTGCTGACCAAGTACTTATTTTGCATTGCATTTTGGGGGATAAAGCCATTTTTATTATTTTTATTTTATGTGTATGCATGTATTGCCTGCATGTAGGTAAGTGTACCCATGTCGTGCACTGCCCGCGGAAGACAGAGGAGGTTGTTGGATCCCCTGGAACTGGACTTAAGGATAGTTGTTAGCTGCCATGTGGGTGCTGGGATTCAAACCTGGGTCTTCTGCAAGAACAGTCAGTGTTCTTAACCACTGTGCCATCTCTCCAGCCCATAAAGCAATTTTTAAAAAATCCTATGTCCTCTACATTCAGTCGTTTTATTTTCAAAAAGGTGACCCAAAATGGACCCAAAATAGAGAATGGGTCTCCCTATGAAGCCCCAGCTGGCCTGGAATTCGCTATGTAGACCAGGTTGGCTTCAAACTTACTCTATTCTATACTCAAACACAAAATAAGCAAGATGATTATTTACTAAGCAACATTATTCCAGCTAATAGTTGTGCTGGCTCCTTGGCATTCAACATTACATAAACTTCTACTTTTACAGAAATGCAGAGACTTGCAAAAGAGCAAACACAAAAGGGAGTATGTTGGAATAAAGCACACTGTGGAAGACGTACATAGGGTAAAGCAAATACACTTTGGATTGGCTGATATGCTAACTTGTTGTGGAAAATCTTGTGACTGATTTTGCCTTTTGCCTTACATACCTATCATGCTGGAACGCAGTGCTTCCTATTTCTTATCCAAGAGAAAACTATGTAAGTCACATGGTTTCCAGGAATCTGAAACTTAAGAGAAACTGAAACTTATCATGTTAATAGGGCATCTGGCCCGT